GAACAGCAAGAGGGATTGCTGCTTTCGCTGCGCAGCAATCCCTCTTGCTGTTCTGGCTTCTGAGATTCAGAATATTTTTTCCCCGTTTTCCTCCTCCAAAAACTAGGTGCGTCTTGTGGTCTGGTGCATCTTATAGAGCGAAAAATACGGTAATTGGTTCCGGAGGTCCGTTCTTAACCTGAAGCGTTCTTAACCTGAAGCGCACTTTCCCATTGAAAGTAATGGAAAAGTGGATTGATCTGTTCCAGACGATGGAAAACACCCCCTAAAACAGCAACTTAACATGAATTTTACAGTCTAACAAGACCATTGATCCATAAAATGAAGGCAATAATCAATGTACTGTACTATAAAATAAATAAGACAGTATCGTAGATGTAAAATATAAATCTTATTTTTTTCTTACATGCACTGATGCTTGTTTGGATTGCTTTTATCCATTTCTGCAGCCACACAGTCAACCAGTACCTGAACCCCAAACCCCACATGATCCCCAAAACAATGGCAGAAGTCCCCCAAACGATGGAGCAAAGCGGAGGCAAAGGCACAGGGCAGACACACATAAACAAATCCCAAAATCCCTTGCAGAATCCCAAAAGTTTCCACTCCCCCCCTCCCACAGGGTAGATGGGCTTACCTGACTAGGTGCCACCAATCTGGCTACGGCTGGGGGTGGGACAAGGGTTGGTAAAGGGCTTTTTGGCCCAGGCTCACCTTTGTTTTCTTAACACTGCTTTTGGTCTTCATTAGGTAAGTGTTCTTTACCTAACTTTGGGGCTGGGGTGCGACCTGCTGGGCATCCTGCGGATGTCGGGGCCTGGCTCCAGGCAGTTGCGAAGGCCTCAGAGAGCTCTCACAGCTGGAGGCTGATCGCGAAGCCTCCACAGGCCCCGCAGATGTCTGGACTTGGCTCCGGCCAGCGGTGAGGCCTCCAAGAGCTCGGAACACTCACTTCCAGGTTAAAACTGTTGGTAACCCAGAAAAACATAACCAGATGTACCACTGTGATAGTACCACTCTATTCTGCCTTAGTCAGACCACAATTGGAATACTGTGTCCAATTCTGGGCACCACAATTTAAGAAGGATGTTGACAAGCTGGAACGTGTGCAGAGGAGGACAGTCAAGATGATCAAGGGTCTGGAAGCTAAGCCTTACGAGGAGTGCTTGAAGAAGCTGGGGATGTTCAGCCTGGAAAAGAGGAAATATGATAGCCATCTTCAAATATCTTAAGGCTGACACATGGAGGAGGGAGCAAGCTTGTTTTCTCCTGCTCTGGAGGGTAGGACTCGAACCAACAGCTTCAAGTTGCAAGAAAGGAGATTCCGACTAAACATTTGGAAAAACATTCTGACAGTAAGAGCTGTTCAGCAGTCAAGCAGACTCCCATGAGAGGTGGTGGACTCTCCTTCCTTGGGGGTTTTTAAACAGAGGTTGGATGGCCATCTGTCATGGATGCTTTAGCTGAGATTCCTGCATTGCAGGGGGCTGGATTAGATGACTCTTGTTGGTGTGCCTTCCAACTCTAAGATTCTATGATTTTATGACAATACCCAGGGGAGAGTTGGGATGCGGGTGGTGCTGTGGGTTAAACCACCTAGGACTTGCCGATCAGAAGGTTGGCAGTTCGAATCCCCGTGACGGAGTGAGCTCCCGTTGCTCGGTCCCTGCTCCTGCCAACCTAGCAGTTTGAAAGCACGTCAAAGTCAAGTAGATAAATAGGTACCGCTCTGGCGGGAAGGTAAACGGCATTTCCATGTGCTACTCTGGTTCGCCAGAAGTGGCTTAGTCATGCTGGCCACATGACCCAGAAGCTGTACACCGGCTCCCTTGGCCAATAAAGTGAGATGAGCGCCGCAACCCCAGAGTCGGTCATGACTGGACCTTTACCGGTCAAGGGCCCCTTTACCTTTTTAAGGGAGAGTTAGTTTCCATTTTGTTCCATTTTGAGAGTGGGGCAGAAGGCTTTTTCCTGCTCCACAGCATAGCTGCCTGCCAGAGAGCTGCCTTCACATGCAGAGATGTGTTTGTAATAGTGTGTGAGCACCTATGTGTGTGTGTTCAGTAAGTACACACATGTGCTTGTATGTGCTTTTGTGTAAGATCTGATAACCAGTTTAAAATCGACAGTGTATTTGAAACAAGCATTTCTAGTCCTAGGCAATGTACACGCTGTAACTTTAGAACACACACTTTCCCCCAAAGACTTCTGGGCACTGTAGTTTTCCCCTCACAGAGTGACCATTCCCAGCAACCATTAACAAACTATAGTGCCCATAATGAGGGACGGAATATGCTTCAAATGTGCTTTATGGTTATGGTGTGAGCACAGCTTTGGAATAAAAGGCCAAACAAATGAACATGTTATGATGAACATGTAGTGTGAACTGTGCCGATGGGAAGGAACAGCCTATGCATTAGGAAGGGAAGGTGGCAATTTCTTGGGGCACTAAGTAATTTCACTATTCTGTCATTTCCTTGCTTGTCACAATTTGCATTGGCAGGACATGCAGATTTGTCATGAGCTGAAAGCTATAGAACAATTGGGAAAGTGGTAATCTACCTATATGTAGGTGGGACCTGTTTCATGTATCACACCTGTGATACACCTTTTATTTCCCTAATTTTAAATATTGAAGAAAATTCAAGTGATAAATGTCAGCATTTAAGCAGCAGTTGCTGGAAAAGCCGGGAGAGGAGCAGTTTCAACTCTGTGATTATGACATACAACAGGCATAGGCAAACTCGGGCCGTCCAGATGTTTTGAGACTACAGTTCCCATCATCCCTTACCACTGGTCCTGTTAGCTAGGGATGATGGGGATTGTAGTTCCAAAACATCTGGAGGGCCAGCGTTTGTCTATGCCTGACATGCAACCTATGACGAAGAATGCAATTGAACTTTGCAATATTATTTTCTCCTTAGCTTGTGTATCAGCCAAAAATGTATTGTTACATTTCCATCCAGTGTTTTATTTTTCCAAATTGGACTGTGCGTGTTTCAGTTTCAGGAGTGGAAAAATGTATGTTATACATTGATCCAGCATAGTGATTTAAAAACAAAACAAAGCATGAGTTGAGGCAGACCTCACTAGGGCTTAGTCATGGGACTTGCTTCCCGTGCCAGGGCTCAGCAGTGAAACATGTGAGGCTATACTGTGGAACAACATGTCTTTGATCATGCTCATTGTGGGCTTTATCTTGTCACTCAGTGAGTACCGCTAACCCCAGCACATCTGGGATTTGATGGCAGAATACAGGGTGCGACTTCCAGACGGGTTTGAGCATCTCTGCTTGGAACCAGTAGGATAACGTGAAGCTTTCCTTTCACAATCCTGATCTGTCAAGAGCCTCATCAAATGGTCACTCATCAAAAGGAGACAATACGAAGATGCCTCAAAATGCAGAGGTGGCTGACCAGATACAGTGGAACCTAAGTTGTTGAACGTAATCTGTTCCAGAAGACTGGAACATATACTTCCGAAATGTTCAACAACCGAGGCACGAAGGACTGCCGGCAATTTCCATTGAGAAAATGGAAAAACACGCAGTGGAAGCTATTCGACACCCGAGCCCCATTTGAAAACAGAAGGAATTCTTTCCAGGTTTTCAGCATTCGGGTTCCAAAACATTTGGCTTCCGAGACGCTCAAAGATCGAGGTTCCACTGTACATCCCAAACATAGGGAAAAGGAAAAATTGCCAAGGGGTGGGTGGTCTGTTGGTGGATGCTTTTTCAAGTGGCTACCATTGTGAAATTCAGGGTGATCATATTATATACACCACAATATAGGTGCGATCAGACACACTCGGCCGTTGCAAAGGCCTGTGTAAAGACATGAACCAGATTATACTGCTTTGACCACCACCTCTCGCACCAAAGAACTCTGGGAATATTCGTGATTATGAAAGTTTTGAAAATTCTGCATCTGAGAGAGAAATCAGTCTGGAATTTGCAGCGCAGATGAGTCCTCTTGTACTCTGTGAATGTGACGTTGTCAAAATATCTACTTTGGTTACACACACGAGATGCCTATGTATCTAGCATAGTATGTTCTCAGTTCTCTTATTAATGCTTTTAATTTGGTAGCCTACTTTGAAGTTGTTTCAGTTGTAGGAGATCAATCATAATGTGTTGTGTCTCATTTTCTGCCTGAACTAAGTCTTAATGTTTGCCTTGCCTTTCTTTCCAGCTGCATTTACCATGATTGGCACATCCACCCATTTATCGGATCAGTGCTCCCAGTTCGCCATACCGTCTTTCTGCCACTTTGTGTTTCCTCTCTGCGACGAGCGCGCTCGGACACCTAAACCAAGGGAGCTCTGTCGGGATGAGTGTGAAGTTCTGGAGAATGACCTCTGTAGGCAGGAATACAACATTGCTAGATCTAATCCGCTCATTCTGATGCAACTCCAGCCACCCAAATGTGAAGACCTGCCACTGCCAGAAACCCTGGAGGCTGCCAACTGCATAAGGATCGGAATACCTGTAGATCGGCTCAACAGGTGTAAGTTATCTTTCTTGCTTTTTCTTTTGTGCAAATGTATCAAAATCAACAGGGACGCAGGTGGCGCTGTGGGTTAAACCACAGAGCCTAGGACTTGCCGATCAGAAGGTTGGCAGTTCGAATCCCCGTGATGGGGTGAGCTCTTGTTCTTCGGTCCCTGCTCCTGCCAACCTAGCAGTTCGAAAGCATGTCAAAGTGCAAGTAGATAAATAGGTACCACTCCGGCGGGAAGGTAAACGGTGTTTCTGTGCACTGCTCTGGTTCGCCAGAAGCGGCTTAGTCATGCTGGCCACATGACCCAGAAGCTGTACGCCAGCTCCCTCGGCCAATAAAGCAAGATGAGCGCCGCAACCCCAGAGTCGGCCACAACTGGACCTAGTGGTCAGGGGTCCCTTTACCTATCAAAATCAAATCATTGGCTCTATACATTTAAGCATTGGGTTTAAAAAGGATGAATAAGTTAATTAACATATTAAATTACCCATTATAGCCTGGGAAACTCAGTTGGTTAGAATGTGGTGCTGATGATGTCAAGGTTGCAGGTTTGATCCCCGTAGGGAACAGCTGCATATTCCTGCATTGCAGTGGGTTGGACTAGATGATCCTGATGGACAGTGTCTTGCAGTAAATAAACAGAAAGAGCACGCAGAGTCAAAGGTCCGAAAGCAAAACTTTTACTAAAAGGCAAAGGCTTGTTACAAAACTTCCGAAAAAGACTTCAGACACACGAGGTAAAAACGAAAGTGAGAGAGAGATGGAGAGCAGATCGCTGAGCACAGGAATTTATCTCTCCTGGCTCAGCATGACCTTGAGATACTCAAAGCAATGGAAAGAGAAGAAGGGAAGTCACTGGTATTTTAAGGTTGTTTAAATGAATATTCTAAAATGTAAAACAGAAAAATTAATGAAAAAGAGAGAGGAAAAAGCTGTCAAGAGGTTTGAAACTAGGCCGAAGCTTGCATGAAAGTAGGCTATGTGGTGCTTGGGCTACCGCTTCCTCACTCTACCTTTAATGTGTCACAAGATACATGACATTGTTTAGACTTCTGGGCCAACTACATTTTACTACTGTGCTACAAAGTATGGGTTGCATCTAATCATGTTGTCCCATTAGTGCAAGGACTTCTGCAAGAAGAGCTTTCCTTTCCCTCTTGGATTCCCATCCCCACCCCATCCGCCATTTTGTTCTGGGAATTCTCAAATGCCTGGAAAAGATTGGTGAGGGCAGAGAAGGATGGGAGAGGAAGTCCCATTGTGCAGGCAGACATACTTGCACTAATGGGACAGTTTTGTTGGTCTCCTGTTTTTACATTTTAAATATTTTTCAGCTACTGGTGGTAGGATAATGTTGGCTGCCCCTCTTTTGCTTTTCAGGTCTAAATTAGCAAGTAAGCTTTGCTTAGACTTTGAGAGCAAGCAGTTAGGCATCCAAAAACCAATGCATTGGATTGGGCACAGGAGGCAAGATGGATGGTGAAGTTTTCCCTGATGAAAAACATACCTAGATTTGGCATCCTGTCTTTCTGTTCTGATCTGAAAGGATCTAACACCGACTGTAAAACAATAGAGGAATACAAGAGAAGAACTGCATTTCAATGCAGTGTTTTTGCAAGAGAAATCCTAAATCTCTCTTGCAAAATTAGCAAGGGTTTGTTTCATTCCATTGTAATGCTTTAAATGTGCATTCCTCTGCAAAGCAAAAGCGATGTGCTGAATTTCATGTTCTCTCTTTCTCGGCTGCTTGGGGCGTACTTGGAAGGGGAGTGAAGTGCGCTGGTGAGAAAGAGGAACAGCAGATGTCAAATCATTCCTCTCCAGCTTCTCTCTGTATGATGTAAAGGGTTGTTGCCAGAGGAATGCGGATTCTGCCCCAGGCACCTGAGATACTGCCAGACCTCCCTGTTAGAAAAGGCTGCCCTCCTGCATACTAACCTTTTCCAGCTTCATTGTTTTCAGTAAGATGCAATGTATACACAGTGCTATGGCACAACCTTTGTGCTGTTGTGAAGTGCTTGAGGTGTTAAGAATCCACAGCGGAATAAGTCTGCTGGAAAAGGGAAGCATTGACATCTCTGGAAAGGGAATTTCTCTACCCACAAAATGACACGCCTGAGGCAGCAGGCCAGTACAGATCACCTTGTGCAACTGGAGCAATTTTTAATGGGATACATAAATATTATGAAACTGGTACAGTTGTGTTTATGGAAGTGAAGCAAAACCAGATACAGGATAAAAATAAAGAACAGGGCTGAGGATTAGAAAGTTGCAGGGAAAGAACAAGGAAAAGAATTTTTTAAAAGGAGCAGAGGAGGCTAAGCAGGGGGTGGGGAACAGCAGTTTAAAGATGGGATGCAAATTTTGGTGGGAGTTATGTGGTTCAGATATTGGTTTGTTGGCCTTCATGCCGTGACCTATTTGGTTTCTGAATTGCTGCTTTATTCATCTTTTTCTTCTTTGACGATCACTCGTAGCTGAGTAAGATTATCGTTCATAAACACAGTTTAAACAGTGAGTTCGTAAGTAACTGTGGAGGCCAGTTCTGGATCCACACGTCCTTCCACAGTGGGGACATAGGTTTCAGGGCAGAAGTTGATCATGGTGAGGGTTTGCCAAATGGGGCTTCCTCTTAGCATTTTTCTCCCTTTTGTCCTGAGTTTGAGCATCTTCAAAGCCCATGACACCTTTGGTAAAGGCCATTCTCCAATTGGATAACTCGCAGGCCAGTGTTTTCTAGTTGTTGGTGTTTATACTACATTTTTAAAGATTTGCCTTGAGAGAGTCTTTAAACCTCTTTTGTTGACCACCAGCATTACATTTTCAATTTTAAAGTTCAGAATAGAGTAGTAGCTTTGGAAGATGATAATCAGGCATCCACACAACATAACCAGTCCAATGAAGTTGACGTTGAAAATCGTTGCTTCTGCACTGGCGATCTTTGCTTCTTCCAGTACACTGGCATTGGTTCGCCTGTCTCCCAAGTGATGTGTAAATTTTCTGGAGACACCACTGATGGAATCTTTCGAGGAGTTGGAGATGGCGTTTATAAGTGGTCCACATTTCATATATTAATTTATTCATATAGCATAGTCTAGCTGATGGGAAAGTCATACATATTGGGTTATTCTTGTTTGTTATTGCAAGAGTAAGCCTTTTCAGTCATCTTTCACTTTTGGATCAGTTAGTTAATCTTAGGTGAAGCTTTTTCCATGAAAAAGAGGCTTAAGTCATGTTGAAGCAGATGAGTTTGCTAAAAAGTGATGATACATACATTTCTGCACTGCACCACAGTGGGAGTTTGCCTTTTCCTGACATAGAGGTCAGCAAAACAACAGATTTACTAGACATAGGAAACTGTTTTGCAAGGGGAGGATTGCTTTGTGTTAATCATCTTCTGCCAAACTACTTCTTGCAGATCACCAGTGTTACAATGGCTCTGGAGCAGATTATAGAGGCACCATCAGTGTCACAAAGTCAGGCCACCATTGCCAGTATTGGGACTCTCAGCATCCTCATCCCCATCACTTGTCAAGCACAGAGTTTCCAGAACTTGGAGGGGGACACGCATACTGTCGCAATCCTGGAAGCCAGATGGAAGGTCCCTGGTGTTTTACGCAAAACAAAAACGTACGCATGGAACTGTGTGAAGTACCTTCTTGTAGTATGTATTATTTTTCTTCCCTGCTTCTAGAGTGTTTGTAGAAAAAAATAGTTGTAAAGCAAATCAAAGGCCTTTTCGTTGCACCATTTCGTATTAATGCATTGTTTGTTTGTCAACATTGAAGCCAGGGGGATTTAAGTGCATGTAATTTATGGCCTGTACTGCTGCTGTTCTTGGGTTTAAAGAAAGCAAGACTAATCTTTCAGGTTTGCAGTTTATCTAATGATCTTACCTATTATTGGGTGAACGTTTGTCAGGAGTCCTTGGTCAAGATTATGTAGATTGTACTTGTACTTGTACAGGGTGTGGGTGGCATTGTGGTCAAAACCACAGAGCCTCTTGGACTTGCCAATCATAAGGTTGGCAGTTCGAATCCCCATGACGGGGTGAGCTCCCATTGCTCTGTCCCAGCTTCTGCCAACCTAGCAGTTCGAAAGCACGCCAGTGCAGGTAGATACCGTATTTTTTGCTCCATAAGACGCGCCTGACCATAAGATGCACCTAGTTTTTAGAGGGGTAATGCAAGGAAAAAAGTATTCTTTAAAGGGAGCGCTGAGCAGAGCCTGTATGCATCCCAGGCTCTGCTCAGCGCTCCCTTTCACGAGCCGCGTGGAGCGTGTGTGCGGCGCTTGCAGGCTTTTCCCCGAGGAGGGAGAAGCCCCCAAGAGCCACACACATGCTCCGTGCGGCTATTTAAAGAGAGTGCAGCTCTTGCGGGCTTTTCTGGGAGGTGGGGGAAGGGACAGAGGGGCTAAGCCAGAAGCTAGAACAGCAAGAGGGAGCGTTGCGCTGCGATCCCTCTTGCTATTCTGGCTTCTGGGATAGCTGCGCAGCCTGCATTCGCTCTATAAGATGCACACACGTTTCCCCTTACTTTTTAGGAGGGAAAAAGTGTGTCTTATAGAGCGAAAAATACGGTAAATAGGTACCGCAAACGACATTTCCGTGCGCTCTGGTTTCCATCGCGGTGTTCCGTTGTGCCAGAAGTGGTTTAGTCATGCTGGCCACATGACCCGGAAAGCTGTCTGTGGACAAACAGCAGCTACCTAAGCCTGAAAGCAAGATGAGCGCCACAACCCCATAGTCACCTTTGACTGGACTTAACCATCCAGGGGTCCTTTACCTTTACCTTTTTTACAGGAATGAGCTTCAGTGCTCCTTGGGCATGTGCACTCCTCACTCCTCAATCACAGCTGCAAGGAATGGATTGAGAGCATCTATGTCCATTTTTAAACTAATTGCAGTTGGTTGTTACATCTGACAAGGGCAATTTGTATTTAGTTTAAACAACGATTTATTGAAAAAGCAGGCTGAAACTGTTGTTTATGACTGACCAGCGTTGCAGTGCAGATATAATAAGAAACACTGGCCAGTCATAACTAAGCAGATTATCCCACTCCCTTCTCTTCAGCAAGTAACAAAGGGAGGAGAGAGGACATGGAAGAAAGAAGACCCATTTTTGTAACACTAAACTATGGTTTAACATAATGTGTGAACTGGGTTGTGATTGATGGTTTGCACTATAAACTCTCTTCAGAAAATGTTCTCTGTAGTGTGCCAAATTTCATATCTGAGAGTTTGGGAGCATAGCCCAAAAATTCAACATGCAAATGGGTGCTTTGTACATGTGCCAGTAATTCATTCTTGTGTCACACTAAATGGTCCTAAAGGACAGAGCTTCACACTCAGCAAAAGGATGCAAGAGGCCTTCCTGGGTGGTACTACTTCAGATAACAGCTGGGAAATTATTATTATTTATTAAATTGATATATCGCCCTTTATCCAAAGATCTCGGGGCGGTTCACAAGATAAAAATACAGCATAAAAGCATGAAATAAATAGTTAAAACAAAGCAAAAATCCCAATGGGATCATGTTGTTGAATACTTCTTCTCCCTGATTTATTAATCTTGTATTAATATATTAATTGCTTCCATTTTATTGTTACTGATTTGTTGCTTTTAACTTTGCATTTTTGTCCTGTTGCATTTTCCTGTGAACTGCTTTTATGGTTCTTACATATAAGTAGGCTATAAATATTAAAACTAGACTCTGTTGCATGACTCTGCTGAACAGATATATTAGTCAAGGTCCTGTTGGTTTTACAGATTTTTCCTAAAGAGCACTTCTTACTTCAGACCTTGAATTACTTTTATTATAATTTAGTCAGAAATTAGTCAGTAAGTGATCCAACTGGAAAGTTACATAGGAGGGCAAAGGCTATATAAAATTTAACTGTACAAATATATAATTGCTAGTTGAAACATTTGTTTATTTTATCTATGAATATTTGCTGGGGATACTCTGAATTCTGCCTTATTCATTCCAATGTGATAGTCTCTTTGGATATGTTGATGTGCATGTGAAGCTGCTGCATTTTCTGTTCAAATGAATGAAGCAACTCTCCTGGGAGCATGAATTCTATGTGCATCAGAGTCCTATACCACTGAGTATCTTGGGCTTGCCGATCAGAAGGTCGGCGGTTCGAATCCCCGCAACGGAGTGAGCTCCATTGCTCTCCTGCCAACCTAGCAGCTCAAAAGCACACCAGTGCAAGTAGATAAATAGGTACCGCTGTGGCGGGAAGCTAAATGGCATTTCCGTGTGCTCTGGTTTCCATCACAGTGTGCCATCGCACACTGCTGGCCACATGACCCAGAAAGCTGTCTGTGGACAAACACCAGCTCCCTTGGCCTGAAAGCGAGATAAGCGTCGCAGCCCCATAGTCGCCTTTGACTGGACTTAACTGTCCAGGGGTCCTTTACCTTTTACCTTTTTTATTTAAGCACTCACCTGGGGCCATAGGCAAGTGAGGGGGCTGTCTCTAAGGGACAAAGCAGGCCATGAGGGGAAGAAAGCCCCCTTCTCCATGCCCAGTAAAGAAATGCAGTGGGCTGATGGGAAAAGGTTGGCTACCCCAAATATACTAGTAAAAAAGTTTGCAGGCTTATAGCAAGGCTGGTGTGCCTTATTAGAAGTGGCCCATATGAGTGACTGTTGGGCCACACCCTGACAATGTGGCACAATCTTGGTGTATTTCCTTGGAAGGAAACCCCAATGTATTCAGTTGGACCTATTCCCAGGTAAGTGCCATAGGATTGCATCCTTTCAAACAGAAATGCAGTCGTACCTTGGATCCTAAACGCCTTGGTACTTGAACGCTTTGGCTCCCGAACGTCACAAACCCGAAAGTGAGTGTTCCAGTTTGCGAACGTTCTTTGGAACCTGAATGTCCAACGGGGCTTCTGCGGCTTCCAGTTGGCTGCAGGAATATCCTGCAGCCAATCAGAAACTGTGCTTTGGTTTCCGAACATTTTGGAAGTCGAACGGACTTCTGGAACGGATTCCGTTCGACTTCCAAGGTGTGACTGTAAAGCATTGTTATTTGTGTATTCAGAAAGTTCAGTTATAGAGTGTTATCTATGCATGACCAGTGAGTGCTGGTTGGATCCATGTAGCTTGTATTTATTTTGCATTTCAACTTCTCTTGGACCGTATTCACCCCTTACTCTTAGGAATTTGAAATCTGTTGGCAATTAATGCAATATTATGATTGGGTTTACCATTGGGTTTCCATGTGTGGGTGCATGTGCTGAAGTTTAATCTCTTGGTGCTGGTTGTGTGCATGCACTTATTTCCATTACGTGTGAATGTTTAAGACTCCTCCTGAAAACGTGATTTTTTTCAAAACCTAAACAGGTCCACGTGACAACAGCAAAATGGGGATCCTCTACATCCTGGTACCCAGCATAGCAATTCCTCTGGTTATTGCCTGCCTTTTCTTCTTGGTGTGTATGTGCAGGAACAAGCAGAAGACATCTGCTACTACTCCACAGCGTCGCCAGCTGATGGCATCTCCTAGCCAGGATATGGAAATGCCTCTCATTAATCAGCACAAACAGGTACCATTTAAACAAGAAAAAAAAGACACCAGGTTTTATCCAGTGGTAGCTTTACAGTGACAGGAAGCATCTCCTTGCACAAGGCAAGAAACTCAATTTTTTCCAATCCTCCCCTACCATCTGCAGCCCTCAATGCCGTATCTTAGACCAGAGATGGGTTCTTAAGGTGGTACAACAGTCCCAGCATGACCAACTTTAAGTGATGATGGGAGTTGTAGTTTGACAATATCTAGAGCAGGCTTCCTCAACCTCGGCCCTCCAGATGTTTTTGAGACTACAATTCCCATCATCCCTGACCACTGGTCCTGCTAGCTAGGGATCATGGGAGTTGTAGGCCAAAAACATCTGGAGGGCTGAGGTTGAGGAAGCCTGATCTAGAGAGCTGCAGGTTCCCCAGCTTTTATCCTCCACTGTTCCAGAAACTCCCTCAAAAATCAGGAGCAGCTTTCTTGCGGACATAGCGGGCTAGATTAAGTTGGGAGTGGGATTAGTGAAATTCAAGTTCCCCACCCTGTACACGGTAATTTTCAGATAGCGCACAACCATCATTGGACACAAGCCTGTTTCCGCAAGCCATTCACATGCCCAGTGAATTGAAAATCTTCAATTATGAGATATTGAGGTGGAAATGATACCAGTTCCGGTGACTTTTAGGGTTAGCAAAAAGGCCATTGTGTTAAAAGGTAACACTTTCTAGAACATGAGGAAAATCATAAGCCACTGGGATGATCCTGCTGATAAACGCATGGCAGTTTCTTTTACTTGCTGCTTTAAGACTATTGAAATACTCAGACATGAAATATTTTGTCCTGTATGTGTGTTTGTAAAACAAACGAGATCCCTTTGAGTATAAACGTAAGCTGAATGCACACTTTGATCCATAGCTTTCTTCTTGTGAGAACCACCTAATAATTTGCAACATTTTCATTTGATTTTTTAAATAACTTTTTTATTCAAAATTAAAACAAAACATATTATCCAGAAACATATCATCCTTATTCCCCCCCCCCATTTTTCCTCCCTCCCCCCACAGAACTGACCCACCCCCACCCCCCGACTTCCCTCAGTTCCAGTCTTCGATTTCTCTAAAAATGCTGTTTTCTGCATGTTACACAGTTGTATAGATCCTCAAACTATTTAGCTGCTTATTATCAATAAAAAAAATGTGAATGTTTATTCAAAACCAGTTTGTGAATGTTTATTCAAAAATAAACATTTCCCTTTGATTTAGAATGAAACCATTAAGAGAATGATTTTGGGTATGTTTTATTTTCAGACTAAGCTGAAAGAGATCAGTCTCTCCACGGTGAGGTTCATGGAGGAGCTGGGCGAGGAGAAGTTTGGGAAAGTTTATAAGGGTCACCTGTTTGGTACAACGCCAGGCGAGCAGACGCAGACAGTTGCCATCAAAACCCTCAAGGATAAAGCCGACTTAGCCCTCCGGGAAGAATTTAAACATGAAGCGATGATGAGGTCAAGGTTACAGCACCCAAATATTGTTTGCTTACTGGGAATAGTGACGAAAGAGCAGCCCATCAGTATGATTTTTAGCTACTGTTCCCATAGCGACCTGCACGAGTTTTTGGTTATGAGATCCCCTCATTCTGATGTCGGCAGCACTGATGACGACAAGACCGTGAAGTCAACACTGGAGCCAGCAGATTTTTTCCACATTGTGACTCAGATAGCGGCAGGGATGGAATACCTGTCAAGCCATCACGTTGTCCACAAAGATTTAGCCACTAGAAATGTATTGGTGTTTGACAAACTCAGTGTGAGAATATCCGACTTGGGCCTTTTCAGGGAAGTCTATTCTGCTGACTACTACAAACTCATGGGGAACGCTCCGCTGCCTATACGGTGGATGTCCCCTGAGGCAATCATGTATGGCAAGTTTTCCATTGATTCCGACATCTGGTCCTACGGAGTGGTATTGTGGGAGATCTTCAGCTACGGCTTGCAGCCTTACTGTGGCTATTCCAACCAAGATGTCATCGAGATGATAAGAAACAGGCAGTTTTTGCCGTGTCCCGACGACTGCCCTGCGTGGATGTACTCGCTGATGTTGGAATGTTGGAACGAATTTCCCAACCGAAGGCCAAGATTCAAAGACATCCACAACAGGCTGAGAACCTGGGGGAACTTGTCGAATTACAACAGCTCGGCACAAACGTCTGGGGCGAGCAACACCACGCAAACCAGTTCCCTCAGCACAAGCCCCGTTAGCAATGTCAGCAACACTAGGTACGTTGGACCAAAACAGAAAGCACAAGCTTTCCCTCAGCCACAGTTCATCCCAATGAAAGGACAGATACGGCCGATGGTTCCACCACCTCAACTCTACATTCCCGTCAATGGTTACCAACCGATGCCGGCCTACGGAGCTTATTTGCCCAATTTTTATCCCGTGCAGATCCCGATGCACATGGCTCCTCAGCAGATGGCTCCTCAGATGATTCCAAAACCAGGATCCCATCACAGTGGCAGTGGTTCCACAAGCACGGGATACGTAACAACCGCTCCCTCCAATGCCTCGGTGGCGGACAGGGCTGCTCTGCTGTCTGAAGGTGCAGACGATGCACACGCCGCAGAAGATGTTGCTCAGAGTCTGGTCCAGGAAGAGGAGGAGGAAGAGGGCTCAGTGCCCGAAACAGAATTATTGGGTGATAATGACACTCTTCAGATGGACGAGGCAGAATTCCAGACAGAAGCCTAGAGGTGTTGCCTTACTACAGAGACAAAATAGGGCACGTCTTCAGTCCACTGGAGACTGTCCTTCTGACTTGCATAATCAATGTGTTTTCCCCCCCTTCGGACTTTTACACACACTATAATTCAAAACCACCTGAGATGCAACAATGATGACATATCACGTTTAAAGGATTTTTCTTTCCGGCAGATGTATGCAAAATATGAAGATTGGGAATTGCTGTTTCTGAATCTAGGGTTGATTGCAGTTTTTGCAGGGAGGCTGCTTTTATAATATACTGTTGCTGTGCAACAGAAAGTGGAAATGCATTGCACATCATGTATATCTTGAACTCTGATTGTAATTTTTTTTTTAAAGGAATTCTGGTAAAATCAGTAACCAAAAAAAGAAAAGGAAAGAAAGAACTGGTCAACAATAATACACAGGGTTGTTCTGCCTGTGGAAAGGTGCTCAAGGTATAAGGGACATCCTACAAACAGAATCTTTGTCTTGTTGATAGAGTTGATTTGCAGGGGGGTTATTCAAATATAGGTAAGAAGAGACAGGTAAGAATATTCTTCCAAATTTGAAATATAGCTGAAGTTCAGGTAAGAAAGCAGAATGACTGATAGTGACCGAGCATTGCATCCCCCCCTCGCTGAAGAAGTGAACTGATTTCCATTATAAAGGAATGGAAGTATAACATGCTTTAGCAGCAAATATATTTTTCTAACTAGAGTAAGTGACCTGGTAGGCTTTGCACTAACTGAATAAGCCAACCTCTTTTGCCTGTTGTGGTCAAATCTTGATAAAGGGCTCAGAAATACATTAGCACATATTACTGATCGCGTTGATCAATAAGAATTTTAAACTCATTTTGAAGGTGCTAGAAAAACACATACCCTCCTTTGTTTTTCTTTTTAAAAAGAACCTTTTTAGAGATTGTAGATCTTTAAAGACCAAAATAAGCAATATTGTATAGAATGTGTGGATACATGTTTGATGCTTTTTTTGTGAGATGAATCATGTACAGACTTTGAAATGTAATTTATGTTTTGTTACATTTTATATGGGTTTTTTATTGCAGCATTTGGATCTTTGAAAAGAATGCCTATATAACTTAACCGTTTACATTATGCTTTGTAATATTTTATTGGGATTGGGATTTGTATGCTTTGATATGTTGATAAATACTGGTCCAAACATTTCATAGCCATACATTTCATACATTCTGTAATATAAATATTCCCTGAATTGTATTATAATGTAGCTACATATACATTGTAGTTCTAGCCTGTAAATCCATCACATGGACTATCTAACAAAGCAGCACATAAATATTTGATTAATTTGTAAGATGTTGTAAAAAGAAAAAAGAAAAAAATACACTGTAAGTGTGGAAATTCTCATTTCCATTCTGCCATGTTTTACCATATAAACTGTGCCTTTGCGAAGTACGTTTGGGTTACGTGAGGTGCACCATTGCAATCTGCAGCCTGTCTTAGTAACAGGAACTGCTTAACTGGTTTCCAGTTTATCTCTTGAAATTTGCTATGCACTGATAGGTAAACGATGAGAAGCTCTCTTGCTTGTTAATATAAATGCGAGTTGGAGAATATCAATAAATCATACAAATAAAAGTGAAGTTTATTTAGTTTATTAAATGTGTTGATGACCTTCGATACTGTAATGCAGCTCAATTTAAGAACTTTCTCTTCCTATGCGCCCGTTTTCTTATTCATGAGCATTGCCATGGCAGCACAAAAAGAACTGTATGCCCAAAGTCCAGAATGGGAGACCAATTCATTCATTCGTTCATTTTAAATGAATGCTTTGCATCCAACCAGTGCCCCTCTGCCGACTGAAAATTATCTCATTTGGTGGAGCCTTCCACCAGAGGAATGGGGACTAAGGCGATCTTCAGTGATGATCTTGTGCCACCTTCCATGCTACTCTGAAGGATCCTTCAAACCTCTGGAACAGATCTGGGTTAGGGATGACAGTAAAGGAGGGGAATTTGAAGATCCATGTTCTGCTGATGGAAGAATCCACTGGGTCAAAGAGCCTTCCATCCATAGAGCACACTAACAGGACACAACCTGAGGACATCTCAATAGCTTTAAAGGTAAAGGGACCCCTGACCATTAGGTCCAGTTGTGGTCGACTCTGTGGTTGCGGCGCTCATCTCGCTTTATTGGCCAAGGGAGCCGACGTACAGCTTCCGGATCATGTGGCCAGCATGACTAAGCCGCTTCTGGCGAACCAGAACAGCGCACGGAAACGCCGTTTACCTTCCCGTCGGAGCGGTACCTATTTATCTACTTGCACTTTGGCGTGCTTTTGAACTGCTAGGTTGGCAGGAGCAGGGACTGAGCAACGGGAGCTCACCCCGTCGTGGGGATTCGAACCGCCGACCTTGATCGGCAAGTCCTAGGCTCTGTGGTATAACCCACAGCGCCACCCACGTCCCTCTCAATAGCTTTACAATGCAATAAATACACTAGTGGCCAAAATTGTGGAAACCTTTTGGGGAAAGTGTATTTCTGAGGTTTGATTACTTATAACACCACTTTTTTGGAGTAATAACATAAAATTATATATCAGTGGAAAGATAACTTAATGAGGAATGTAATGCAACAAAGTGTGTTCAATTATCTGTATTTTAACAAAAGTTATAGCCAAATAACCAGAAAAAGGAAGCACAACTTGCTTAGGTTGATATGCCGTAGCTTTCCTTCATTTGAATGTAGCCAATGAGCATGAATGTTCAGAGTGCTAATTACGTGTTATAAGCCATCAAACCTCGGAAATACACTTTTCCCAAAAGGTTTCCACAATTTTGGCCACCAGTGTGAATAAATCCCATACGCATTAAGATATTTTCTGAAAATGTTTTGAAGGTGCCTTAGTGCCTACTTCTTTGGTCACTAATGTCTGAATTCTTGACTTATAGGACACTGGTACTTATTGCTGAGCTCTTAACTACACTATTGGGAAAATGGAAACCACTCTTGCCTAACATAGTAGGTTACCTAATACTTACCAGAGAACTCCTTACCTGTTGCATCATCGTTGACTCCAGCAGTATTTTAGGCCACCAAGCCCTAAACCTTCAGGAGGCCAATAGACTGCCAACCTTATTTTTTGTTGTACTAATCTCAGACACATATCTAACCCGGAGGAAGAATTTGACTGAAGACATGCTTTCCATATATGTGCTAGAATCCAAATCTGGAAGAAGAATATAGGAGGCACATAGGAACATTGCCGATCTTACAAATTTTAGATCCCCAGCCATTGGTGGCATCTCTGTATAACAAGCCCATTGGTCAAAATTCCATCTCTAGCAATTTTGTACAGGTCTGATAATTGCTTCTTGTTCCTGTCTGATGTCCTAATTTAGCTACTGAATCCATAAACAAGTTCCTCATTTTATATATATTTATTTGCGCAGGAATTTTTAAGGATGGGTTTTGAGTCAAAAAACAAGGTATTGTCAATTTTAATTCACTTCTTCATTGCTCCCGATACAAATTCGTTCCATTTCCTTTTCACACAAAAAGTCCAAAAGTAGTTCTCTAATTATTATTATTATTAATAAAGGTCAGCAATGTTATTTCTCTAATTGAACGTATCACCTTTGCCTCCAGTAACTTCAACAACCATGTCTCCATATTAAACAATAATAAATATTTCCGTCTTTGTCTATATAGGAATCTCTGCTGTGATCATATATTGAGATATTACTCAAATATATTGAGATATTATTCCATAGTTCTTGTTATATAGCCATTAATTTGCACCCAGCTCTTTATCTTCAGTTCCCATTTCCTGTTGTGTTTGCCATGGTTTTCCATCCTTATGTTTTCGAAACTCTTCCATTTATGCTTCTTCAATTCTTTTCCCAAGTAAAGCACCAGAGATTTGATAGCCTTTTTCCTCTGAGTTCACTCCAAGTTGCCAGATCTATCTCAAACCATGACAATTTCACTGTTTGGCTGTTTCATTCCTCCAAACACCACAATGAAGGAGAAGAAAGTCCTAAAAATGGTACAGGCCTAGGTCTTAAAATTAAACCACCAGTTCACAGCCAAAATTTAAAAGTAGCTGCTGATGTGTGGAAACATCAATCATCAGTAGTTTTAAAAAGGAAGGGACGTTAGTACTCTAATATGTTAGAAATGGGATACAAGCATGTTATTGAACGGGCATCTTGATGGAGATGCATATGGTAAGTTCATTAAAGAATTAAAAAACCTAACTAGAAGCTTCATTCTGTTGCAGAAATATTATCCTTCTAATACAATGATGGGGACTGAGTTGGAAATACATGCTCAGCTAATATTTTCTTAATTTTAATGACTTCTGAAATGAATTTTCTGTTTGAAGTGAAACACTGAAAATTGTGTTTGATGCATTAATTTTTGCACTCCACTTTTCAGCTGCCACATACGTTTCACTGTTGAATAAGAATATCTTACAATTATGTTCATTTAAAGTGATTTAATTCTCAGAAGGCTTGAGGCACTTAGTAGTGTTGAATTATCTTTCAAATTACCCTCAGAATTAAACAGATGCAGTATGACAACAGTCTGCCGCTCAACTGTAGCAACAGAATTGGGTAGTAACAGAATGGCGTTGCCATAACTTTGGATTATTAACCTCCCCAAAACTGTCCTAATGGAGGACAGAACTCTATTAACCCTAGTTGCCAGTGGGAGACTTTTAAGTATTTTATTTTTTTTACACACCCTGCATGGAAGAGTGAGGGACAACAAGTGAAGGTGACATTCTGAAGAACTGCCGTGGTTCACAATTATCTTTTTTATGGAGTAACCACATGAACAAAATATTATTTCTTGGACTTATGAACAAGCGTCCACAGCATCTGGGGCTTTAGGTACCTGTGGCAACCATCAGTTCCAATAGCTATGGGCAGCCTCAGATTCCATTCCAATCCTCTCCCCTCTGGCAATTCCAAAGCTTACCATCTTGGCTAATAATAATAATATTTCTGCCCTACCCATCTGGCTGGGTTTCCCCAGCCACTCTGGGTGGCTCCCAACAGAATCTTAAAAACACGATAAAACACCAAATATTAAAAAACCCCTAAACAGGGCTGCCTTCAGATGTCTTCTAAAAGTCAAATAGTTGATTATTTCCTTGACATCTGATGAGAGGACGTTCCACAGGGCTGGCGCCACTAGATATTTATATATCTTAGCTAGTTTATTTGGAGTCATATATCACCTGTACATCATTTGAAGGTGACCCGGACACTACAATTAATCCAAAATGTGGCAACTAGACTGGTGAATAGGAGTGGCCGGCAAGACCATATAACACTGGACCTGAAAGACCTTGGGTCCCAGTACGTTTCCAAGCACAAATCAAAGTGTTGGTGCTGACTTTTAAAGCCCTAAACGGCCTCGGCCCAGTATACCTGAAGGAGCGTCTCCACCCCCATCATTCAGCCCAGACACTGAGGTCCAGCTCCAAGGGTCTTCTGGTGGTTCCCTCACAGCGAGAAGTGAGGTTACAGGGAACCAGGCAGAGGGCCTTCTCAGTAGTGGCACCCTCCCACCAGATGTCAAGGAAATAAACAACTATCTGACTTTTAGAAGACATCTGAAGGCAGCCCTGTTTAGGGAAGTTTTTAATGTTTGATGTTTTATCGTGCTTTTAATATTCTGTTGGGAGCTGCCCAGAGTGGCTGGGGAAACCCAGTCAGATGGGCAGGGTATAAATAAGAAATAATAATTATTATAATTTCTACTACTACTGCTACTACTACTACTACTACTACTACTACTTGGGAGCTCCCAGCCAGAGTTCAGTAGGGAAGAAGGGATCATCCTTATTATCTGTGAGAGTTTGGTTTTGTCACAGCCTTTGTGAGAGAAATAAAGCCTGGAAGAATTAAGCTCTTCTTTGACCTATTTATGGGGGCTTAGGGAGTGTTTTCTCCTTCTCCCTCTCTTTCCCCTCCCCACTTTCACACACTTCACCCTGTGCAGATGTTAGGGGGAAGAGACACACCATGACTGCTCTCTTCAATCAGGCTTCTCATCCCAAATATTGGAACTGATTTCTCCTCCAAGGAGGCCCATTTCAGACAAAAATGCTCCTGCTTCCCCACGGAGCCTCATCGGAAGCTCATTGCAGTAGCCAACATGGCGCTCTCCCAAGGTTGAGCTATCTTAACTCCCCTTAGTTCCAGGCAGGGTTGTTGAGAACATAAAAGGAGAAAGGAGAAAGGAGAAAGGAGAGAGAACTATAAAATGAGAAAGGAGAGAGAACTATGTGCACACCTCCTTGGAGGAAATGGGGGTGCAGAAATGTAATAAATAAATAAATTAGTCACACACAGAGTGTTAACATTTGCCATTAGTAAGAGTAATTATGTATGACTTGGAGTACAGAACAGTGAGTCTATGCAGCCACCTGCTGGAAAATATGACTAACACCAAACTACAATAATCTGATGCACAAAGAACATTTTGTGTTGCCCTGTGTGGGGAAAATTCAGTGACCACGTTGCGGCTTTTTTCTTCTTCTAATCAAATAAAAAAAGGAGGCTCTCAAAATAGTCTGTTGCAAGGTCAGTGGCCCAAATTGCAGCCAAGTAGCTGATTCACAGGGCCATTCAGAGAACAAATAAGAGATGTGTGACTCACAAGTCTCTTCTCGCTCTGCTTTTAAACGTCGGACAGTTCCCCCTCAAAAGTCACAAATAGGGTAATATCAAAGGAGGAACGGTTAGGAGAGTTGGGTATGTTTAGCCTGGATTAGAGAGAACAGGGAGGAGATATGATATAATAACAAAACTGTAATTGAGGCATCTCTTGCAGAAGGAAGATGCATATACAGTCGTACCTTGGAAGTCGAACAGAATCTGTTCCGGAAGGCCATTCGACTTCCAAAACGTTCAAAAACCAAATCACGGCCTCTGATTGGCTGCAGGAAACTCCTGCAGCCAACCAGAAGCCGCGGAAACCCCGTTCAATGTTTGGCTTCCAAAAATAGTTCACAAACTGGAACACTCACTTTCAGGAACTAAGCTTTATGAAAACCAAGGTATGAATGTTTTCAAAAAGCAGCTATTTCACTGCCCCCAAACAGCTGTTTGACAGACCCAACATGATGCTTAGATGTGTCTAAAAAAATAGATCACATGCCTTCGGAAAACATACCTGTGTCCTTGGAGGTAGGAAGAGGCCTTCAGTATCTGTCGCTTTGAGGCAGACTTTGAATAGCCAGTTGTTCAGCAGATTGCTGTAGAAAGTGTAACATCACAGAACAATCAACAGGCTCTTCACTTGCATTCCTTAGTGCGAGGCTGACTTTCTATGAACGTCATTGACAGCGGCTTTAGCTCACTGTTGACATAGCGGCTGTGTGGAACTCACTGCATCAGTGGCGGACTCTCCTTCATTACCCATGTTTAAGCAGAGGCTCCATTTCCTGGGATAGCTCAGTCGGTAGAGCATAAGACTCTTAATCTTAGGGTTGTGGGTTTGAGTCCCATATTGCGTAAAATATTCCTGCATTGCAGGGGGTTGGGATGGATGACCCTTGTCGTCCCTTAAAGGTAAAGGTAAAGGGACCCCTGACCATTAGGTCCAGTCATGGCTGACTCTGGGGTTGCGGCGCTCATCTCACTTTATTGGCCGAGGGAGCCGGCGTACAGCTTCCGGGTCATGTGGCCAGCATGACTAAGCCGCTTCTGGCGAACCAGAGCAGTGCACGGAAACGCCGTTTACCTTCCCGCCAGAGCAGTACCTATTTATCTACTTGCACTTCTGTGCTTTTGAACTGCTAGGTTGGCAGGAGCAGGGACCGAGCAACGGGAGCTCACTCCGTCGTGGGGATTCGAATCACCGACCTTCTGACCGGTAAGTCCTAGGCTCAGTGGTTTAACCCACAGCGCCACCCGCGTCCCTTGTCGTCCCTTACAACTCTACAAATTCTATGATTATATATCCAACGTGGGTGGCGCTGTGGTCTAAACCACTCAGCCTCTTGGGCTTGCCAATCAGAAGGTCGGCGGTTCGAATCCCCGCGACGGGGTGAGCTCCCGTTGCTTGGTCCCAGCTTCTGCCAACCTAGCAATTCAAAGCACGCCAGTGCAAGTAAATAAATAGGTACCGCTCCAGCGGGAAGGTAAATGGCATTTCCGGGCACTGCTCTGGTTTTGCCAGAAGCGGCTTAGTCATGCTGGCCACATGACCCGGAAAAACTGTCTGCGGACAAACGCCGGCTCCCTCGGCCAGTAAAGCGAGATGAGCACCACAACCCCAGAGTTGTCTGTGACTGGACTTAGCTGTCAGGGGTCCTTTACCTTTTTTATATATCCACTTATCTGAGATGCTGTACCAGAAGGTTTCCTGCATTGCTGCAGCCTTTCAGCTGTCACACTGAAAGTGGGATTTTGGGGTCCAACTTCCATCAGCCCCAACCAGCATATGGGAGTCCTGCAACAAATGGAAGACCATAAATTCCCCTAGACTATGAAGTCCCTTTCGTATGAGTCTATATGAAATGAGTCCCATGGCTGTATGATAAAAAAATTTATTAGTGTTCAATTACAATAATCCAATAAGAGTCTCACAACAATGCCAAATTATAATACAATTACTTACACCAATCATTCAGATGCCAAATTATACAATTTAGGTGCCCCCCACATGCTAGAATGGATGATTTGATTTTTTTACTTTATTTCTGCATTCCAAAATCTTACTAATTTCAATTGCACTCCAGTCAAAATAACAATCCCTTATATTGCAACTGCAATTTTAATGATTTCCATTCGTACTGACACATTAAATGTGCCAATTACAGTTGAAGCATTCAAACTATATCCTTGTTCTTCCTGTGTGTGGCAATTATTCTGTCCATGTTGTATCTTCCTGTCCTTGTAAAATATTATGTCTGTCTTTTCCCACTCATTGCTGTTCTCCATCATGCCTTGGGCGGAGCTAATATCCCATTGTTGTTTCAGAAGTTCTCCATCCCTGCGTCTCATGCTTCGTTGTTTTGCAACTTGAGCAGCAGCTGCAAAAGTCACACTGCCCCAATAAATATCCTGTTTTCGCCATTTTTCTCACTGCCTGGGAAGGAGAGTGATCTGTTGAACTTCAAATAACTCAGTGAGTCACAGGGCTGTATGCATCTCATGTCCTAAAAGAGATGCACAGCCATGTTGCTTAAGAACAGCCATTTATTATCAGTTGTGCTAGGGGAGGGAATGCACATTGTAAATTGTCAGTTGTGAGGGTGCACACCCATGTTCTAAGCATGGTTTCCCCCTTTAAATACACAGAAGTCAGGGCACTGTCCTTGATCCCACCATGCACTTTAAAGGGAAAAGTCACGTAAGAAGCATACATGACGCCTTTTCAATGAGATAGTACTTGCGTATCTGTACCCATGTGCAAAACACTTTTATGAGGATGTGGGTGGCGCTGTGGTCTAAACCACAGATCCTCTTGGGCTTGCTGATCAGAAGGTCAGCAGTTCGAATCCCTGCAAGGAGGTGAGCTCCCGTTGCTCTGTCCCAGCTCCTGCCAACCTAGCAGTTCGAAAGCACACCAGAGCAAGTAGATAAATAGGTACCGCTGCAGCAGGAAGCTAAATGGCATTTCTGTGCGCTCTGGTTTCCGTCACGGTGTCCCATTGTGCCAGAAGCAGTTTAGTCATGTTGGCCACATGACCTGGAAAGCTGTCTGTGGACAAACACCAGCTCCCTCAGCCTGAATGCGAGAAGAGCGCTGCAACCCCTTAGTCACCTTTGACTGGACTTAACTGTCCAGGGATCCTTTACCTTTTACCTTTACACATGTGCAAAACACTTTTGTGAGAAGGTGGATCAAGGATCAGAGGGTGGTGTTTTACACAGTGTCCAAATATTGGTCCTTGGTCTGAATTCTTCATGGGGTTCTTTGCAAACCATGTTACACCCTGTTCATCGTAATGAATCATCTATCAGGAAAGGCTGTAGGATGTCTTCTGCAGCCAGGAGGTCCCTTGTCTAAAACGCACCATCTAGTGGTAAGGCCAAAGACAACTCCTGTTTGAAATGCTGGTCAGTCACTCCCAGTCACACAGTAGGCAGCATTCAGCTAGATCCGTGGTTCCCAATATGGGGCACACGCTCCACAGGGGGGCAATTTGAGAATGAGTTATTAACAGTGAAAGGCCTTTGGGATTCCTCCACATGAATAGGAGCTCACTTTTTAAATAATAAGAATTATATGTCACCGGGGGTGGGGTCAAGTTTTTAGAGATGCTTAGGTGGGGCATAGCAAAAAATAAAAAGGTGGGGGACCACTGAGCTAGAAGGACCAATGGTCTGGCTAGGTATAAGACAGCTTCTTCTACAGTAAAAAAAGGAGGGGTTGCTTTTCAAGTCATACATAGAAAAATATTGTATCTTAAGCAGTTGTAGTAAAGAAATTGTACCGTATTTTTCGCTCTATAGGACACACTTTTCCCCTCCAAAAATTGAGGGGAAATGTGTGTGCGTACTATGGAGCGAATGCAGGCTCCTTGGCTTCAGTGAAAGCAACGCAAAGCCTCCGGAGCGTGGAGGGAGCGTTCCCTCTACGCTCGGAGGCTTTGCGTTGCTCACTGAAGCCTGGAGAGCGAGAGGGTCGGTGCGCCCCGACCCCTCTCGCTCTCCAGGCATCAGGGATAGTCGCCTGAAGGCCTTCGGAGCGCAGCGCAAGTTCCCGCTGCGTTCTGGAGGCTTCAGGTTCCTTTCGCTGAAGCCAGGAGAGTCTTGCTCTCCCAGCTTCAGCAAAAGGAACCTGAAGCCTGAGGAGCGCAGCGGGAACTTGCGCTGCACTCGGAAGGCTTCAGGGATAGCCGCTTGCAGCGCCTCCGGCAGGGAGAGGTTGCGTGCAGCCTGTACGCTGCTTTTTGGGGCTGGGGGGGAAATAAGATTTTTTTCCTTGATTTCCCCTTCTAAAACCTAGGTGCACCCTATGGTCCGGTGCGCCCTATGGAACGAAAAATACGGTAATTGCCATGGAGAAAGACCATTGGAAGGAGTGAAGAAGGCTCCTGGTAACATTCTAAAAAACAGATCATCCAAAAGGAATGTGCTTTTCATTAAAGACCGTATTTTCCTATCTTGTTGCTATTCAACTCTTCCACTCAGCCCTGGGAAGAAGGCATTGACATCTGTTGAGAACCTAATACACCTGTAATGTGAGCCTTTGTTGTAAAATTCTGAACTGGTGAGCCTACGATGTAGTTTGTGTGCTCTCCCACAAGGTGGTGCCCGCAATCAATCCTTGGCTTCGTGCTTAGCAGCGCAATGTTGTTCTCTGCATCCCGATTCCGATGGACCGGTATGCCCTCCTAGCATGCAAAGCAATAACAAGGCAATTACAAAATAATGTTCTCCGCTGAGGATGTGGCACTTGTTGTTGGACGTTAATAACTGATAAAACATTTGCCAGTGATGAGCGCTTCCCCCCTGTCTTGACTCGAGGCTATGGAACTGTTTGCTTTGCTGAATGATTTTCAAGTAACATGCATGAATATTCATGAACTGCACATGAATTAAATTATCAAGGCATCTGTTACACCATCAGGGACTTACTGCTATGCTGGTCACTTGCTGCGCAACTGGAAAACCCCAAACATTCAATAACTCCTCATCGAAATGAAAGGTTAAACTTTATCGCCAATGACTGCTTGTGTTTATGAAGGTTATTAAACATAACAAGCTTTTTACACAGATACAGATGGGTCCTTCTCTCTCTCTCTCTCTCTCTCTCTCTCTCTCTTTAATGGGCCATTTTAAGATACCTTGAATACCAGGCTACTTTCAGAATCCTCTGTAATAGTAACTAAGAATAGGACAGCATGTGAAATGTGATGTTTCTTACAGTGTCTGTGAAGCCTGCCATCTGAAGGAGAAGCAGCAAAATGATTAACTTCGGTAACCGTGAGCATCAAAGATGGCAACTGAAGTGGGGGGAACAAATCTTTGGGTGAGGTATACTGGATATTAAGGGAAAGAAGCACAGATTTCCTATTTCTGCTGCAGACATTCTCCATATTGGTGTGACTAGTCCCTGGTTTCTGGGAAACAAAGATGAATGTTGGAACAGATTCAGACTAAAGAGGTGAAACAAAGGTGATCAATGACGAGGTGGCAGGAACAATCAAGGATGACAGTGGATCCTGAACCCTCTCGTCAAACTTCAGGCTACAGTGCTTAGTTGATTAATTGATTAACTGATATATTTTAAAAGCTGATAGTATAAAAATATGCCTTGATTAATTGGGCAGCAAGCTTTCTTGCACGGAAGTTCAGTGTGAGTACTTATGAAAATTGCAAATCACAATCCCCATCTTGAGAAAGACGTCCCCTTTTTTGTGAGAGAGAGAATGGAAAAGAGCTTTCCTGAGATAATGTTACTTTTTAGTTGATGTGCACAAACAATGTTCATATGGATTGTATTGTCATATGCAAATTTAATAAATGTATTTATTAATTGACAAGCTCATAGGATAATC